TTTGAAAGGATTTTAAAATCTATTTTTACTATGCCCTGACACTGCTTGTACAAATTGCAAGTGTCTAGGGGCGCCTGGGTGGCGCAGTCGGTTAAGCGTCCGACTTCAGCCAGGTCACGATCTCGCGGTCCGTGAGTTCGAGCCCCGCGTCAGGCTCTGGGCTGATGGCTCAGAGCCTGGAGCCTGTTTCCGATTCTGTGTCTCCCTCTCTCTCTGCCCCTCCCCCGTTCATGCTCTGTCTCTCTCTGTCCCAAAAATAAATAAACGTTGAAAAAAAAATTTTTTTAAACAAATTGCAAGTGTCTATAGAATTTGCTACTAAATCTCCTAGACCTGGTGCAGTTTTCAGGTACAGATCCTGATCCTTGAACATCTTTTCAATGTATTTTATAGAAATTAGTCTGTATCTTCTCTGCCTTTTTTTCTTTTTCTCTAATTGTGGCCACTTTTTTTAAAAGCTTATTTATTTGTTTTTAGTAATCTCCACACTCAACGTGGGACTCAAACTCACGACCCCAAGATCAAGAGTTGCCCACCCCTCCAACTAAGCCATCCAGGGGTCCCCATCTAAATTTGGTTGCTGTTATTTGTAGAGGAAATCATCTGTTTCATATGGATTTTTGAATTTTGGGTATTTAATCTAGTTATTCTCTCTAATGCTTTAAAGTTACATCCTGTCCTTCGACACGTTAAATGTTGGTCACCTGTCTTTGCTCTGTTTACCGAATCTACATTTTCGCCGCTGCTGTTTGCTTTTGATCTTACTAATTTATGCTTTCCTGTTTATGTATTCTGTTCTTGGGCTTATTTTTATTTTTCCTAGCTTCTCCAGGTGAAAGCATAACTCAATTATTTGCGGCCTTTCCTGTTTTCTTGTAAATGTAGGCAAGGCAATTTCTTTCCAATGCCACTTTGTAGACACATCATGCTCCTCTACTTATTGTTAATTTTATTTTTATTATTTTTTTTTACCTTGTTTCCCCCTTGTTAAAAAAGTTTTTATTTACATTCCAGTTAATATACAGGGTAATATTGGTTTCAGACGTACAGCGTGGTGATTCAACGCTCCTGTATGACACCCGGTGCTCATCACAGCAAGTGCGGTCCTTAGTCCCCATCACCGTTCCACCATTCCCCCTGCTCACCTCCCCCCTGGTAACCACCACTTTGTTCTCTAGAGTTAAGAGTCTGTTTCTTGGTTTGCCTCTCAGACACACAGATCAATGGAACAGAATAGGAAACCCAGAAATGAACCCACAACTCTGTGGTCAATTAATCTTCGACAAAGCACGAAAGTACATCCATTTTCAAGTAGCTTGTCGTTTTCTTTTTTCACCCAAGAATTAGTACGAAGTATGTTTTCTGTGGGGCGCCTGGGTGGCTCAGTTGGTTGGGCATTCAACACTTGATTTTGGCTCCAATCATGATGTCACAGTTCGTGAATTCAAGGCCGGAGTCAG